TTATAACAACCAAAGTAAAGCGCGCGCTCTGATTGGTCAATTTAGCGTCCCCCATTTGCCCATGGGTGTACGCTGCTGACGTGAGCAAATGCAAAGACTATTTTTCCGCGCGCGCTTGTTTTTTCTGGTCACGTAAGATTTGTTAAATAAAAGGGAACTCTTTAGCTACAATGTATCAATGTTATGTTATAAAACAAATGGTAAACACCACAGCGTACACTATTGAGTTATGGATGCACTTGGGAGGTTTGCTAAGCACTCAAGAAGCTAGAGTCGCTCTCGCTATCGCCTCGAGCGACTCTTACGCTTCTTTCGTGCTTAGCAACCTCCCGCGTGCATCCATAACTCAATAGTGTACGCTGTGGTGTTTACCAATTGTTAATTTCACTGAAGTTAAGCTGGACACAATAGCATGTGATATTAAAGACAGAGTCTGCTTGGTCTTTTAAAAGAAGCGCCATCTAACGAGCTAATGTCACGTGTTCATCTATCACGCGACTGTTGGATGAGAATGTTTGGCAACTCATGCCCAGGTCTCCTTATTTCACTTGAGTTAGAATCCAAAATTCACGGTGAGTTAAAAAGCCTGTTTCGTCAGATAGTAATCACAAGTTTTCAGTGGTATTGGCAGCTTAAACCCGACTAAACAGTAAAATCGGTTACATTTTCTAAGAAATCACTTATGGGGCGTTAGTTGAAACTCAGAGGTCAACTGGCTTTGTGCCTAATGTAACTTCTCCATAACAAGCAAACTGACAAAATTCTGTGGTAATTATTACCTCGTGCTCCTATTTTGCTTTGTACTGGCAGTAAAGGGATGAGAAAGGGTTACCGACTTTGGGAAAAAGGAAGGATTCTGGCTGGCTGGCTGGCTGGCTGGCTGGCTGATCATTCGGTACATCTTATCTAACTTTCGGCTCTCAAACTGAATTGAAGATATTTTATCCAAACTATTTATTGACTTGATGGAAACAGGAAATTTGTAAAACATACGGAAGGCTGCCTCCAAAGCCATGGATTGTACAATGGTAAAATGTATAGAACCGAGAAGAAAACACTAAGAACGCCATGTCAACTTTAATCTTAACCAACAATGTAGAGATAGTTTTGATATTAATGAGTAAAATAGGGTAAAATACGCTTTTATATACCTCAGACTCTTTTCTTATTGAGTTCTTAAAGAGATATTTGATAATCAAATTATCTCCATCCAAAAGTTCGCCAACACAGCACTCCTCTAGCATTGGCTACTTCTTATCCATTGCCTCGGGCTCCTTAAAATGTCACAGGAAAATGTGTGAATATAAAGACAGAATAAAACGACTAAAGCTGTATCAATCAGGAAAGCACGCATCGCCAAGTACAGCTATTCATAACTGCTAAGTTTCTTTGATAAACACTAAAAAAGTCTTCTTTATCCGAAGCCACTTACTTTTCCTTCAATTCCTCACAGATCTCCACCAGGCTTTTGTTACGTTTCTGCTTTAAACGCTTTTGACATCTGTAAATAAACATGTAGGAGGAAAGACTAGGAAAAAATTTGAATGGAAATGAAAAATGGCGGGCTTTAGATAACTCAGTTCTGTGGCGAGAGAAAAATCTCAGTCTGTAGTATCAAGTCCTGATGTGCACTCAGTGTTTCTTATTCGCGTCACTTAGGTCGCAATATATTTTTTGTGTGTGAAAGAGCTACAACGTTGAAGAAACCGAACCAAAAACACATGATTTCCATCAAGAGTGGCAAGTCAAAAGCGCCAATGGTTTTCAACTATAGTAAAGTTTCTTCGTCAGGAAAATAGGTAATGAAAACTTCACAGCTTTCTATACATACAATTACATTGCTTTCTATCATCTTCAAGGACAGCGTGCGCATTTAAGAGAAAAAAAAGAAACTTCACGTTTTGTACCTTTTCACTTCCTTATCCTGTACGTCTTCCTTTCCAAGGCAGATATACTTCGTTCGTTCCTCAGGATTTAGTCGTATCTTTCCTCCAGCTAAATTGAAATCTCCTATCATCTGCTGAACTAACATTTTGGTTTGTTCTATTTCACAAAACAAACCTTCGATTCTATCTAATGCGTTCATGGCACTGATGAAAAAACGAATTCCATTCTCTATCCCGCCGGCCGTAACAGGTCTGGATCGAAATAATTTGAAGTCCTGAGAATTCTCTTCTTCAATTTCTTTTTGTTTGTCCATGTGCAATACCGGAAAGGATGATCGATGAAATAACTTGGTAAATATCTCGAATGACTTTAAAACGTCACAGAAGACTAATTGTCACTTATTGTGGTTTTCCTGCTTGGGTTCGATCAGCGCGATAGTATACTTATTACCTCAGTTTGACGTCCCAAAGGAGATCAACATTAGTACTTCAACATTAGTGGTTCCTAGTGAACAAACGCATGACGATCGTATTACGCGCAAAGAGAATCTGATGTGCTACAGTTAGCCGAACGCCAGCATAAGTTTAAATTCCATTTTCATCATTAAGACTAAGTACGTATACCGCCTGTCAGGGAGCATTCTTTTTAATAATTTCAACATTTTACCGCATGTGTGTATAATGAAGTGAGCTGCGTCTGATGAAATTCTTTGGTTCTTACATTGCCCGTTAAGTTTGTTCCCTCTGTGTCACTACGTTAATTTATTACACGACTCGGGCAGTCAGAGGGCCAATAACTAAAATCAACCAATCAAAATGCTCTATTGCCGGTCAATATTCTCTCAGTATTGGACCGGGCACTGTCCCGAATGGTCCCGAATGATACCGCACTTGTGTCCCTTTGAACTTCAGTCGTATAATAAATCTCTTATTAACCAAGCTTGCTCGGGACCGTACTGGAAGAATTTCGGCCCTCGGTCTTTTTTTGTACGGACCGAGCGCAGTGAGGTCCGTACTGTCAAGACCTCGGGCCGATATTCTCCCGGTACGGCCCTCGCGCTTGGTTAATAAGATATAGATACAAAACACAATATTTTAAGACAAATGTTGTACTCGAAAAAAGGAAGCAACCATACTTAGCTCTCTGCGCAAAGAAAACTCCGCGCGCATATCAAACGTGACCTCACAAAAGATAGCGTCACAATGAAACGCAGTGGAGCGCATACAAAAAATCAAAATGTCAGAGACAAGCGGCCGTGCGCAATCATTTCTTCCCTACGTTCCCGAGATGGTGGACATGATCTTAAGATACCTTCCTGCCAAGGAGCTAAGAACAACAGCAAGAGTGAGCAGAATGTGGAGGAACATTTCCACGCGGATTTTGCAATCGCGAACAACTTGGACCGTGCATCATTTGGCGGACAAATTGATTACAGGAACTGAAATCGACGATGTTTGTGAAAATATGTTCACGGAACCACGAATGGTGATTCAGTTGAGCCATAGGGAAATCTGGTTCACGCGAAGGGAGCCACGAAGGCGAAGGAACGAGGAAAGACAGCTCGTGCGTTCTGTTTTTAATTTATTTTCCAAGCTTCCACCAGGATGCGTCAGCATAGGTTGTACCACTGAACGAATTGTATTCCAACAACCCACTGACGAGTTCACTCCCAACCTCATCCATCATATTAAGACAGGACACGCATTTATATGTGCGCCTCATATGCCTGGTGTTTGCTATCACCATGCCTACCTCAGGACACCCAGGCCACCTCCAGCTAGTGACTGGTGCGACATGTTTGATTTGCCAACGCACACTCCAGTCAAGTTAGTCGTGCTGATCGCGCTCTCGGCCAGTAGAGATTTCATACCGTTCCTAGCCTTAGGTATTTAACTATTTATGGTAACTGCATGCAATGTAAGCTGTTTAGGATAAACCTTGTTGTCTTCAAATCCACCAGTAAGTAACTCTCAAATGTTGTTCAAATGCGATTGTTTACGTTACAGGTATCCGTGAAACATATGGGGACCACGTGGTTGTTTTCGGAGGTGTTGGGCATGACCGTTTGTTTATAGATGGTCTAGTTAAGAGGGCAAGAGTTGTGGCAATATTCATTTCAGGCCAACGATTCCGCGCACACGCTGGGTTATTAAACAACGGTAATGACGCTGACTTTTATTCGCCGGCTCATCAGCTGACAGAAGAAGCAAGAGGCGAAGGTTTTACGCCCAAATTTGCACTGTTGTTCACATCACGGTTTGTTCACAAAGGACAAGCTTTCTATTCCAGCTCACAAACAGCATTCAGAGAAGGTTTCAGTACTATTCCTATGCTGGGTTTCTATTCTTATGGCGAGTATTGTTTAACTGAAAGGGACACTGAAGTCACGAAAATCAACGACTTCAAGAGACAAATGAGATACAACTCAGCTATTTATTGTGTGTGCTCGTACAAAAACGAGTCACGATAGAATTTTTATCGAGTTAGAAAACTAAAACATTGAAGTAAAAAACATAACATAACATATCCACTGTCTTGTCATTGAATTTAGTCCATATGATTCTCAGTATAAAGAGTCCAGGCTAAAAAGATATGAACAGGAACTATTTACAACTAAACATCTCAACATTTGTTTTTAAGATTCAATTTTACCTGAACTATGTGTCTTGAAATAGCTTCTGTTTGATTTCATGTTGGCGATTAGAATATTGAATACAAATTACCACTTTTACAAATACCTGCTATACTTCTCCATTTGTTCTTTAACATTGCATTGCAGTTTTGTCTGTAATTCGAATTCCGGCAAAAAGTGTCCGTCGAGCAATTGCTCCTGAACAGAGTCTCTGCTTGACTATGAAAGATGGCAACGATACATCTTTTCATAGTCTTAAGCTGACACTCTAAACGCAGTTTTTGCTACGATATATACCACTGTGTCTCTCACAATAAAGCCAAAGAGAAAAAACCTTGACAAAAGGATTAACTAGCGAGAAAAAAAATAAGTTACCTACTGTACAACGATCGCAATAGTCCACAGCAACGATACATCTTTCATAGTCAAGCGAGATAATGGAAGAAATCGCTAAATTATTTCTTTTATTAATAGCTGCTACTAGTCATGCGCACCATGAAATATCGTGTAGACACATGGATTTGAACCAATGAAACATCAGCTGATTAGATGAACTCAGACTTAATGTTGGGCCATCCTTCTTCACCTCACCGATTTGAGTCTGTTGGCAGCGATATACAGACCATTACTATTGAGACATAAACATGACACAAAAACTAGCAAAAACAAAAAAGAAAATAAGAAAGAAACCACTTACCATTACGGGGGGGTATATTCTCCGGAAGCCTCCTCTGTGGGTGTGCTCTAAGTAAGAAGCCTTGATAAAGTCGCGTTCATTCTCTCGCAGGCAGGGAAAACACAGGCGGCAATTCTAAAATCATGGAGACAGTAAAGAAAGCAACAAAACTCAACAAATGTTGACCCTGAGCCACAGCATACAGCTGTAGATACCACAGGCTACCTACCTCATCATAACAAGACTTGGAGCATTCACTACTTGCACATCTTTCGTACAACACTTGGATGTCCTGATCGCTAACAAGCATGTCTTTCTCGGATGGAGAGCTGATGAACACAGACAGAAAAATAATAAATAAATAAGCACTGTTACGGAAATTTCCTGAACTCAGGAATCGCGTGAAAAATGTTTTCACTGACCTGTACTTCAAACTGTGGTCCAATTTTGATGCCACTCCCACTAGGCCAAGAAGGTTGAATACAACCTTCGTGTGACAAAAACGAAGAGAAAAAAGTAGGTCATTCAGTTTTGTTGTAAACTTGAGTAGACTAGAGAACAAATTAGCGCCCTAAACGGACATTATCAAACGATCATTAACAAGAAAACATTTTTATTAGCCGTATTGTGACCTAACCTGTTCATACATCAGTTTGTTGTCATTGTGGGAAGCTGAAGACAGATTTGGAGACATGTTTACCTTTCAAAAAACAAACACACAGTCAAATAACAAAGGTGAGGTATTTTTCAATTTACACCAAACCCATGATCCTATTGAAGTATCAGATGGGGCCAACAGCTGAAGCAGTAAACATCATATACCTCCATAAGCCAAACTTTTAAGTCAGCATCAAGGATGAAATCAAAGCGGACCATCTCAAAGAAGTTCCTATAAAGTTGTGGTATAAAAAAAGTAACAAGATATGATATTTTATGTCAAATGGAGAAAAAAGGTGATTGGAGAGCTTCAATTGTCAATGTAGGGTCAATGCACTCAACTAATCTAATACCTTGTGGATTTGAAGTGTGATCCTGCAGATATGAGATCTGCTTCCTTTCTCAGGTAAACCTGACATCAAATACATCATATATTTAAACATCAAACATTAGAGTCACTCTGTTGGTTAAGCTTTCTAGGATACTATTACATTTGAAATAACAAAACCCTTTGCTTGTTAAAAATAATGTTTGATCCATAATTTCAAGAAAAAAAGAACACATCATCAATGAGGAAGAGTAATGTGTTGCAGCCAAAGACAGCATTCGAGCAATACAAGTCTTACCTCTGCAATAGCCCTGTAAATATCACTCCACATCTTATCAACATCTTGACCTGTAAAAAGTAAACACAGGTCATTGTGAGAAGCATTGCAGCTTCTAACCTGAGTTATAGCAATTTCTGTTTTAGTTCAAATTAGTTCAGTTGTATGTCAACTTTATTTCTTTAAATACATTGGCTGAAAGGGAGAGTAATGAAACAGATCTTGCAATCAGCAATCTCCCAAACTAAACAGCCACAAATGCATTTCTGCATTTCTCAATCACTTTTATCCACTGTTTCAGTGTAAGACCATCTAGACATTTTTCTGTATACCTTTTTTTTTAAGATGTGCATTCAGAAGAAGTTTGCGGCTGTACTTTCCTTTCTGCCACCACTCCCTCAGAGAAGGCAGCTGAATGTGAAATAAGTTAGGCAACCATCAGAGTTCTGAACAAACTTACCCAAACTAAAGTAACAAGAAAACATCAGAACAGGTTTTTTTTTTTAAAATAGGAATCATAACACTGAAAAAGGTCTTTATTCATCTGTATTTTGATTGCTGCGACTACTAACTTTTGTCTTAGCATTTTTCAATCTACAGCATTCGCTCCGGCGAAGGGCTAACGCTCGAAACATCAGCTTTTGTAATCGTTACAGTGGCCAATTTACCACTTCAACTTTGTTGATATATCCAAATTATTTCGTTACTCCCACCGACGCAGCCCCAAACAGTTCCTTTCGAAACTATCAGCCTTTATTCTTTAGAATGTAGACAACAACAGGTGAAACAGCACCAAGCTGAGAATGTGGGATATCACTTAAAATAAATACTTCCACAACAGAATAGGGTTAGCAGGCTGAGTTCAACTTTAAGTCTTTAGGATTGTAATGGGGACTAGACCAGGCAAGAAACTGGGCAAGTCATCTACCTATGTCTTAGGCTGTTGTATATTTGCATGGGGAAGGTACATGACAGAAATGGCTCAAGAAAACCCTTCACATACCTCCCAAGGTTGAGTGTATGAATCTCCTACAACATACTTATCTTCATTATTTGGGTCAAAAGGGTAATAGTCTGTCTCACAAAACCTGCACAAGAGTAATTGGAAAGGATATATACTGGTAATAAGAAAACAAAAAATGTGGATCAAGCTAAAAAACCTACTCAAGACTATCCTTATTGAAACTTACTACATGCTGAGCAGCTGGGGCACATTATTTTATGACAATTAACTGACTGACTGTGAACTTTTACTGCAGTTAAGGGTGAAAGAAAATCTTAGGAATGAATATATGAATCAGACTTTTGTCCTGGGATTGACCTCTGCTTTGCAGTTTGAGATAATGCAATAAATCGTCTAATGTTAACAATTCACCTTCAGAGTAGTCTCAGTAATTTTCTTCAGTATAAATTGGATCCATTGTAACAAAGTGATAGTAAAGTTATCACCAAAAAATACTGAGACAGCCACATTCAATGATCAAGTGATTGAGAAAGTAATTATATGAAATATGCATCATCATAAGACTGTATTTTAAAATTAAGTGACTGACTAATAACATAACCTGATAAGAACCTCTTGGTCATAGACATAAACTCTGAGAGGATCAATGGATGTTAGAACAGTGTAAACACCAATGTCAAACTTCCGTTGATCAATAAGATATGGATTGGCAATATACTCCTGAACAAAGTTCTCATCAGATCCCTTGTGAAGGTCAATTTCTACAAAGAAAAATACAAACTAAATTAATGTACAGTATATGCTCACAATGACTCCAAGCCACTTGTTGATTAACAGGGGGCAGCACCCCACAGAATGAATGTGAGCCTTCAAAAAGAACATTTAAAATGTAAGTTTGTATAACATTTGTACCTTTTGGAGACTTGATGTGTATTCCTCTATGGTTATTACTCTTCTCCACCCAAAGTTTCTTAGGATGGTTCCTAACCTGAAAACAATTAGTAAGAAGGCAGAAGTTAAAAAACCTCCATGTTGAAATCATACCACAAACTTTACAGTTAATACTGATTTCTGCTGGCTTATGTCCTCTCTTAACATGTTTGTTTGTTGGTGGGCTGTACATTGCCATAATTATTGTCCTTAAACCGATACCTCTTCTAAAAACTTGTCAGTATCTTTTGGTATCACAAATGCTGGAGGAATAAATGGAAAATGGTTCACTGCCAGGCTAACTTTGTTTGTAATATATCCAGAGCCTGGAAAATGATTAACCTGAAAATAAAAGCAAAACAAGTTTGTCTCAAAATGACACTTTAAATTAATTAATTTTTAAGTTATTATTGATTAACAATTGCATAGATGCATAATTATGTTCTAGTTAATTTTTATCCTCAAGTTCTATTTTCATTGTTTTAAAATTTTGACAGACATTTATAACTGAACAAACATTTGAGTCATATACTAACAACAAGTAATTCTTGTAGTAACTACTAACTGTAATAACTTATTATTTTTGATTAACATTTTGCAGAGCAAAGAAGTTCAAATCAAATTGAAACACCTTTTGATGCGGCTCTAAGGTTAGCAGCAGATCTTTGAGTTCTCCACCAAATGGATAGTCATGGGCCCACATAACATCAAACAGGCGGCTTTTTGCTTCAGTTCTGGTATAACCAATTCTGCTGAACACAGCCATCACATGTTTCAAGTAACCTGACCTAAGCTGATAAATAAAATATGACTTTACTTAAATTGTTTAATAAAATTTTTCATCTGTGTGAAGGTAATTAACATCATATACTTTAACTGTTTTTGTTTTGTAGAAGAAATGTAAGTGCCAATAGGCTAATTTCAGTTAGCAGTTGACACAAAAAAAGGTAATTGCAAACAAGGATATCCCCACCAATGTTACAGGTGTTTAAGGTGCACACTCGCTATCTTATGAAGCAAGGTGTTTAAAGATTAAATACCAAGAGATTCATCACTGCAAAGGATATATATTAATGTAATATATAACTAACCACATGGAAAAAATCTTATGCAGTGTAAACAAGTGTTTATACAATTTCAGTTCTGTCTTCCAGAAAGATATCCAAGTAGAATTGTTTAAAAAAATTCAAGGATCCAATAAAAGAATTGTTAAAATTAATAGCATTTATCTTGTGCATGTACATACTGAGATTTACACTGTGAAGTACTTACTATCCTCCGTATCTAGATTCCATGAACGATGTATTTATAATTGATGTATAAGAAATAATCTCTTTATGTATGAAATAAAATCATCATATCAAGGAAAAAATCATTTAATATGTGCACTTTCCATGGAATAATCCCTATTCACCATATAGTTGTGCTCATCGTCTTCCTAAGTCAATATTCCCGACATTTTTGCAAAATTAGTTGAACAACAATCTTGTGAACAATGGTTAAATCACAAAATGAAATATTTAAGTGGTAGTTAACTTTTGCATATAACTTGAACAGATTTCATACATTTATCTGACACAATTCCCCAATAACTGTTTAACTAATTCAAATGAAAAGTATCCTTACATTTCTGGCATTCATCCAAACAACAGGTCTTCTTGAGCTTCCAAACTCAGGATCACCGACAGTCTGCCCAGTAGTTATACTACTCAACTGATAAATATTGACTAAAATCAACAGTACACCAAAGCACAGGCATCCCATCATGAGCTGCACCAAACGATGTGAAATTTGAACTCCGTGATGAGGGTGTGGGTAATATTTCGAATTATCAGATGCATACTGAAAATAATTACAAATAATTAAACATTTAACATGAAATATCAGTGACAAGCCAATTAAGCCAAACACTTTTAGATTTTTCTTGCAGTTGGATTAAAAAAAAAAAAAATGGTGAGTGCCTTTTATGGTTTAATACTATAAGTAAATTATATTAACATGACAAAAAAAAAAATAAAAATACTGGTAACTAGGATGACCTACAATTTCTATCTCATATAAATTGAAATTCTTATAAGAGGATGTAATATGTGGGCTCCTCTCACTTCAGCAGACATGACATCCTTAAATTTAACATCCTTAAATTTGACATGTTCTGACTCTTTTTTGGATATTCAACACACAAACAGCTGACAACTTAGCATTAGGACATTTACTAGTTAAAGAACACTATTGGCTCTTACAATCATTCTTTTATTTCATTTATTTCATTTAATATCAAGTCATGATTTTCCATCTAACTTATAAGGTAAAAAAAAAAAACTGGTATGGTAGTCAGAAAAGATTCCCTGAGAGGGAGGATGACATCATTAAAAAAGAAAAATTGAAACGACAATGAAGTGTGGAGACTCAACAAGGAATTTTCTTGATGTGAACAAATTATTTTGTTTTTCCAATACTAGTTGTAATGTCAATCTTAAATAGTAGTAGCACATTTTTAAGTTCGTTTTATTCAGACTTCAAAATTTAGATTCTGTTCTTTTGTATGTCACCAAATTATGTTATAGAAAAAAAATTGTTTCGTTCGATATGATTTTGAAGCTGGTGTAGGCAATTGGCTGTAAGAGTACATTAAAAAATCAGGGGAACTGAATAACATTAACAGCCAACGTCTCTCAACAGATTGTCATTTTGGTACTACTCTCCCTTCAAAATCTCCCTATCCGAAATGCCGTTGAAGAATACATCCAGTCTTAAAAATTAAAGCAAAAATCTTTAATTTCCTTACGTTTTAGTGACTTTCCAACGCCACTCTATTTAGTTTGCTGACACATTTTCTGAATGTAATTAGCAAAATTTATATTCGCCTAAAAAAAAGAAATCCTAAAGTATTCCGGTCAGTTGTCCTGATAAGAGTTCTATTTCACTACACGTATGACAATATTTTTTAAACTGTTTTTCTTAAGTAAACATCAATCTACAGTAAACGAAATTAACTTCACGTAATCAAATAAAAATCTCTTGAAGAGGGCGAATCGTGACAAATGTTCGAGCTTCTTTCGTGAAAGAGCTGAAATAAGCAACCAAACCCTGCCTAGAGTACTCCGCAAAAACCGGTTCTGATCAGTTTAGACTGAATTCGAGGTTATTTTCTAATAATCGTGATGTAAGTAAGTTGTCACATAGTACGGACTTCAAGTAAACTTTATGAAAGATAACATGAATTACGTACCATAATTTAAGTTGAGTCGGATAATAACTCAAACATCTGGCCGGTTGTGCAAGCAATGTTTATGGCTTTACCTAACCATAAACAAGAGTTCTGGTATTGTTCAGTCCACGAAAAATTCATAGTAAAATAGCAACGGAAATGTAGCGGAAGACATAGTTGTAACTGACTCTCAGTTTTCAAAATTTAAAATTGAGTCGAAGCAAACTAAGGTGTGAATATGCGCATCAGATCGCTTCCAAAATCAAACAAAGAAAAGACGAATTCACAAACTTAAAGGTCTGAATAAGACAGTGTATCTGCAAACATCAGAAAATCAGTCGCTTTTAATCTCACCTTGAACTCCGGTTGACGATTAGGAGATTTCCACGGCCACATTTTGAAGGACAGTGCTCTCGACCTAGTTATGTTGTCCTTCGTCGTTCGATGCTCCGCTAATCGAAATTAAGTACAATTGCGTGACAAACAAGAGTTTAAGTGAATATTGGCTCGTGTGGCTGTCTGTAAAAAATGCGATTTCTTTGTTCGTTATCCATACGAGGAGAACAATTCATTGTACTTGGTTTCTAAACATTTCTGCATAAAATAAGTACGAGTTCATATATTAGCGGGTTCTGTGGTGGATTGGTGACTGATATAACGCTGTACAGTATGATTGCTGGCGTAACAAAGAAGTCGAAGTGATTATTACTCTTTTGTCTTTCACATTTTCCTTTCTTTTTATCCTCAAATATTTTCATTAGATTCGTCACTGGATTTTTTTAAAGATCCACTGACTATTGTATACTACTAGATTCAGGATCCTTAGATAAATCTTCAATAAATACACGTTCTAATGTAAAGCGCTGGGTCAAGGGTTGAGCTAGCGCTTTAGACTTAAATGAAAATTAAGCTATGGTTGAGTTATGATAACGGCGACAAACTATTATCGACAGTAACTACAATACGAATAAGAAATTATATATATTCACGACCAAAGTCCCTAGGCCGTTCTCACTCTCTTCAGTTAATTACATGATTAATTGAACTCGCTAGTCAATTTTTTTTCGTCAGTTTGAAAATTCCTTTTTCTGTTGTTCTGTTCGCCTGAGATCATTGTCAAAGCTATTTCAATTTCAACACACTTGTCATCTCCAATAACAGCTGAATATGAGGAAAACAACAGAAGTAGTTCTACGACGTTGTTAAGGATTTCTTTGGCGAACAGTAAAATGCCTCTAGGTTTGACAAGCCCGCCCCACCATGCATCAGTAATGTAGTTCGAAAACAAAGTCAGTTTCACCATTTTTACAAAATCACTGCTGCAGAGGCTTGTACCTGTGACAATCAGCTAAGAGACAATTTTTACCAAACACAATTTTTTTTCATCGAGGTTAATTTTCCTCCCAAGTAAGATTGATAGTATGCTGATATTCTTGCTGATTGACATATAAATATAACACATAATTAAGTTTGACCTTAGGCCAGATGAATTCGTCCCACTCGTGGTGTTTACATTTAGATAAGAGAAAAAAGATTAAGATCTAACTCTTTTACAGCCGCGTACATTACTTATGCAAACATTGAAAATAAACCGGTAATCTCGTCATTCCTCTTTTCGATTTGTTTTTTACTCCATAGTCTACCAGATTCTTCACGCCAGTACCCCTTTGGTCAGCATGGAGGCTGATCATCACTCAATCAAGCCGACCAAAAGATCATACCGCGTTCAAGCAAGGTACGTTGATACAATTTGGAATGTTGCTAGAGTTTTTGCAAGAATGTGCAGAGAACAGAATTTACTTTTCCTCTCAAACTGGAATTGAATGAGATGTTGTTCTTCTCTTATGAGTGTGTTGCTCGGATTTAAAACAGTTTAATGAGATTTTTCTAATACAGCTGGAAACTTTTAAGTCTGGCGGATTACAGTGAGTTCAACCAACTGAACCAAACGATACATTTCCGAACAGACAGCTGTTTGTTTTTTCCTCTTATTAATCTGGCAGCCAGCAGTCAAGACAGATACAAACGATCCACGCAGGTACTAAGTAAATCTTTCCTACCAGTTGAGAAACAATCTGTTCGATGAACTGTCGCTTTTGGTCACGCTCCTGTCGGCAGATTACCTTCATAAGTAACAATCACAAAAAAACTGAATTGCGCTTATGTCATCAGTCTGAATGTGAACTAAACTTGACATGCCTATTTAAGAAAGCCAGACAGATAAACCTTGTAATGACTTGTTGGTCGATACGATGTGAACACGAGATGATCGATGATTATAGGGTAAGCCTAAAAAAAGTAACTGACGCTAATACGTCGGCCATTAGACGTCTGAATATCGATTGAGAATATATAGAGGCGGTAATGTCGCAGATATTCTCCTGGCATGGTATACATGGTGGGAGAAAATGCAAATATTGTCTTTGTCTTTCGGCTGCGAAACCATCCCGCACTTTTAACCTGCTTAGCAGGTTTTCTCCGTCAGATTATCTTATTTCATCGTCAGTTTTAGGTGACGGTAGGCAAACTCGCTTGTGTGAGTTTGTTTTCCGTTTAATTTTGTTTCTGTTTTTGTTTTTCTCTTTTTGTTTGGCGGTTGCTTTTTGCGCAAACACACCACGAAAGAAAGATGCCCCTTTCACTGCGAGCAAGACGACGTCCTTGGTATGGATACCCGTCCGGAAATATTGACCAACGAGTTTTCAGAACGTAATTTTCTGGGCTGACAAACGAAATCTGTATACTCATTCAAGTAATCGCTTAAGAGTCCAACTTGAATCTACACGTATTTTTGGACAAATTCGTCGATCTGTCAGCCTAATCTCCTCTCCCTCCCAACACAACACTTCCCCTAACCAATCCCGGGCCCTCGCCGCCTCTACTTCCGATGTCGCGTCAGGTCACATACGCATTGTTTGATACTTTACTTCGTAATTGACCCAACAACTGGGTTATAACAATTATTTTGCATCCTAAGTTGCCTACCTCTAGATGTAGGTGACAGCTGAATTCGTAAGAAGGGAACTTTGCGTTACTCTGATAAACTGACATGTCATGATTGTTACAAACGCCAAATTACATCATCCCTTTCCAAAATATTTAAGAATGATTGATGATGGTGGGTGTTATAATCAAGTGATGTGTACCGCGATAAAGGTTGCCATAACATCGCGTATAAAAGGAATTGCAATGTTGAGACAAATGGAAATCATATGTTAATAACGTGCTGGATAGTCGTGCAAGCTCACGCTCAGAGTTGTCATGTGGGTGCAATAAACCGATCAAAAGAAAGAATTTTTAGGTAACAGCAACATTCGCGGTTTTAAAAAGGTAATGTAATGCTTTGCAGTGGAGGTCTATAAAAAGAAACTGAATAAATCATGATGAGTCAATTAAAAAGAGATTTGTCTCGCCAGGGGGACAACAAAATCGCGTGAAATATGCATCAACCTCATCATATCGATAAATATTTTCTGCCCCTTTAGGATAAAGTACTGTAGAGTAAATTAACATAGACGTATTGTAAATGATTCACCCATAAGAATCGGGAAGTTCTCCTTGAACATAAAATATGCTATATTAAAAAACTATTCCGTGTCCAGTGGCCTTTCCTGTTTCTTTAACACATCACTCATCACCCTGAAATAATTGTTCACCATATCCTTCGGGAATGTTTAACGTCAGCGACAAATCGAGTTGAAGAGGAATGGGACAAATGTTGAATTCGACAACGAATATATCCCCTCGGGTTTTATCAGTAAGAGGAGCACTTACCTCATAAAGCGATAGTTACCAGGATACTCACTTCAATTCTGGATCGACGAGGAAATACAGTGAAATGTCGTTTATATCCAAACGAGAGAGGGAGGTTAAAATAGCAGCTGTGTGAGTAGAATTGATGTTTTGCCAACGTTCTTTTTCGTGGGACGCTTGATTGTTCAAACTTGGCCTTTGCTGTATGCCTGTATCATACGCAGCTAAAGAGTGTAGTGCCACTTCATTTAATTCCATTAAATTTATGAGAAGGCGCTAAAAAGACAGTTCAGACAAGCCAAATATTTTAAAGATAAAGTAAATTTGCCAGGTTATTAGAGTACGCGGTTATGTATTCGATGTAAGCTGCATGAAAAATGCACAAAGTCGTGGAGTAATTATACAGTTCGGCTGGTCAACCTCTGTAGGAACTAACCACTCCACGCAAGAGTAAAAACGTCATTCACTCGCGAGTCTAGCCAAACTGATTCCTTCCAGTAATGATTTCAATTGCTCACCTTGACTAATGAATTAATCACACAAACCAAAGATACATGTCATCCGCAGCCTTCTGTCAAGAACATGAAAATGCGTTTACTGATTAACAGTCAGTCGAATTGCCGTTCATTTTATTATGATTACTATGGCTTTTGCTCGGTGACATGTCCGGTGTGTTTCGCTTTTGGATCAAACCAACAAAGGGACGAGCGATTTAAAAAGCATTGAGGTAGACACAACAATTTTCAGAAGTTTCCGCTGTTGACGCGCGTTTTATTCGTGTCTCAGGAACACCACTGTTAGCGCGATAAAAACACAAATATTATTTTATCAATGCGGGGTAAGAAGATATTAGAACAGCTATTTAAAACTTGCTTAAAGGTCCATTAACCTGACTCTTTCAAAAGAAAATAACTGATTCAGGAATAAATGGATATGCTAAAGTTTTTGCCACCGAGAAAGTACATTTGTTCAGCAACTGAACGTGATTAACAAAGCCCGGGGGCGTACTTGGATCAGAGAAGGGATTTATGTGTTTACTCACCACGTGTTTGCAGATTGATTTAGTGTTAAATGAGCAAGAGATGCCTTATTGCCCAGGGTAACTGTGCAACCAAACTTTTGACATTATTTTTGGTTGTAGTAAGCCAGGCAAAGTGCCAGATTGGTCGGTTGATATTAACCGATAGGTAGATATTACCCCTGACCTCTCTCTCGTGATACTGAATTTTAACATTATTGCATTAGAATTCAAGAACAGACGCAGTCTGACTGTATCACTGATTATCCTGTCGACGGCACTGCTGCTGCTGCGTCGAACAACTCCGGTTCGGCGCCACAACATTCAATTGCCCCAAAGATGTCTCGATCGCGATCGCGTCTCTTTGACGCTGACAACCCCGGAGAAACAAGGCTTTATTTGAACGTCGGAGGGCAAAGACACGAAACATTTGTGAGTACTTTGGCAAGCATCCCTGACACGCGACTGGCATGGATAGCTGAACGAGCCCTGAAGGATCCAAGACCGCTCGGACAAAAGCGAGAATTTTTCTTCGACCGGAACCCCGCAGTTTTTACACATATTCTCAACTACTACCGTACAGGGAAACTACATTGTCCGAGGGATGTGTGCGGACCACTCTTTGAGGAAGAGCTTAACTTCTGGGGTCTGGACGAGAAACAGATTGAAACTTGTTGTTGGGCAAAATATGATGAACATCGCGACGCTGAAGAAAAACTTCAAGGCTTCTCACGTGACGAAGATCAAGATTCAGACTTTGAAGACATCGATAGCGGGTCTGGTGACATCGAAATCCCCAGTAGTGGAAGTGAACTTTTTGCCTCGCAAGACCCAGCTCGGCGGGTCACAACAGCAGCTGCTCGCTGGAGGAATCTATGGTACACCATGAAAAAAAAAATATGGAAAACATTTGATGATCCTTACTCGTCGAAATTTGCCAGGGTATGTATAACATCCTGCTTAATAGTTAGCGCTAGCACATTAGCCAACGTTTTTGTACTTAATTTGTTTTTCAACTTAGGATCTCTAGGGAAAAGACTTCTGTCAATGTGAATAGCATTCTGTGAAGTCGATTTCTTCAGTCACTGCTCAGTTACTGCTCGGGGTTTGTTTTTGTGAGTTCGCCAAATTTCACTAATTTATTTACTTGTAATTTACCCTCAGTCGAAGCTTTTTAATAAAAAAATAAAAAAAGTTCTTCATTTCTCATTTGATTTCAACTTCAAAGTTATTTGCATTTAAAAGACAAAAGTTGCCACGTTGTGATAAAATGTATCGCTGTTATCGCTTGAAATAAAATTTTATATTCGCGGCATTAATGATGATTCTGCTCTCGTGAATAATAGCTTACATTTTTAATTTTTTTGCTTTTTAATGTATCTGGTAATAGTTCTCATAACAACAGTGTTTCGGGCTTTCTTCCTTTCATATTCAATAAATTTGCGGAAGAAGCCGGAGAGATTGGAACTGCAAACATTTAAATGAAATGATTCGAGCTAAAATCCCCATCTGAACATATGGTTTCCGCGGATTTTAATGTCGAAGCGATGAAGACTTACGGCCGACAATCAGCAGTTTGTGTCAGTAGCCTGGTATTATGACTCGCAGGATCTTTGCTTACTGTCAGGGAATAAGATGTTCTTTCCTAATTTAGTCTTAACACTGTTTGTTCAGTCTTCTATTAAGGGACCTCTTCTAATGAACGAAAGCACCTTTATTCTCTTTGTGATTGGTGAACTAAGACTTAACGTCGACTATTGAAAATGCCGCTTCCGATATTTTTGGTTGAAAATGAGTCACTTCTTCCTCGACTTGAAAGATATTAAAAAGCAACAAGATAAAAGCCACGATAACAAAGGCAAATTTCCTAGAGACCAGCGAGATAAGAACAGAAAGGAATATAGTAAACCACTTTACGAGTATTTCAAATTCTGTCTATTGTTTACATCAAAGTATAGAGATGTACTGATCAATTCAAAATAGAAGATAATTTTGAGGTCTTAGTATTTGTGGGCCTTATATTCGCTTTTGTCTTTCTTTATAAACGTCCAGGTGAGCATGTGTTTGTCTCGTTCCGTTCCTGAAGAAAAAAATCTTTTGTTGATGTATCAGATATTCTCAAGAGCTTTAGAAATCTGTCTTGAATACATAACTTGTTTCTTTTCGTTTTGAAAGCTTCTTTTAGCTTTCCAAACCTTGATCATTAAATTACGATGAAAACCAAAGCTTTATTAGTAACAGTTCTTGAAATAATGTTTAGTGTGGTCGCGGCATGTAACATTTGGTTCCTTTTTTGTTACTTCAATTTTCTGTTAATATATTCAACTGGAAGGCGAAAACAGGGAATTAAACCATTACCATGAAAAGTCGATATCTATGTTCCAAAGTAATTTTCATAATGCGCGCATTTGTTCTAATTATCCGCATGAAGTTCAGTAAAAAAAATTAAGCAGTGATCAGGTGAATATTTTGACAGTTACATTTCACTTATACTGAACTTTATGGCTAGATGTTGTATCGATGAATAACTTTTGTTGAAACAATTACGGAGATTTCCAATATACTTGATTCTGTTAACCCTTGAACAGTTTTAGGTTACCTAAAAGTCCTCACAAAAGTTAAGGGCTGCGCTTTAAAGTTCACCTTCAAGGCACAAAGGATGTAACAGAGTAGTTCTGCGGAAGTTCATTTCCCTCAAGGGTATTATTATCATTATCATTCGTTTCAATTTTGCTTTAGACAGAACTGGCAACATATTTCTTGTGCGCGTCAAGTCAGTTTTCAAAAATATAGTATCCCTTTCGTCGCCTGTTAATGATTGCAGGCCGATTACTCGCAGCTTTAGTAACCATGCATTTAGTAACCATGTAATTAGTAACCATGCACTTAATAACCATGCGGTCAGACTGCGCAGAAAAATAAACATGATATTATTTTGGCTATAGAGATAGCAGGTTTTTCTCAATAATACCTTGTTAGAAGCACGCTGCTAATAAGGTAGCAACAAACTTTTTTTAAACTTCAATCGATCATTAAAGGCAGCGCGCTGGTGATCTTAGGATCAACTGGACACTGGTCTTATGAAGTTAGAGTTGAGCTACAGTTGTGTACAAACGGGGCAAACAAACTTTTTATTCAGAAGGTTTTTTTTTCTTGATTAACAGGCTGTTGGCTTTATCTCCCTCATTTTCAACGTAGCAGTCGTCACACAGTTTTGCATCTTGACTTTGGAGTACTTCAGTAATGAGAATTCTCCACAGAATCAAGTTCTTTTTATCGTTGAGAGTATTGCGGTTTCTTGGTTCACATTAGATATCGCCATTCGTCTACTGTGCTGTCCTGATCGACGACGTTTTCTAAAGACGCTTCAAAACTGGGCTGACTTCATTGCAATCATCCCATTCTACTTGATCATCTTGACTCCATATGACGAAATACTCAGAAACTTGACAATCTTGTACGTATTTCGAATGTTCCGCACCTTTCGACCGCTAAAATTTTCTTATGTTATGCAAGTATTTACACAGACGCTACGTGCCAGCTCACGTGAACTTTACTTCTTGATTTTCATTCTTGCTCTTGAGGTGGTGGTTTATGGTAGCCTGGCTTATTACTCCGAACGAAGGACCCCCGAAACTAAATTTATCAATATCCCAGTCTCGTTCTGGTGGGCTCTGGTTACCATGACAACAGTAGGATACGGTGACATGTTTCCAACGACCTTGCCCGGTAAACTGGTGGGTTGTGTTTGTGCTATCAGTGGGGTTCTTATGATAGCACTACCAGTATCCGTTGTGGCCAGCAACTTCTCGTTGTATAATTCCTACGCCAAAGTTAAGCTCAAACTCCCTTCAAGAGGAAAGAAAAATATGGTGGATAATGCCCTTAAAGCTTTGCAGCTTGCCACGCCGCAAACCAGTGTAAGTGTTGCCTCACCGGACGGCGCAAACAGTAATGGAAGAGGTCGCTATTCATCGCTGGTCACCTCAGGGTTTGAACTAGGATTATTGAATTCTACAAAGAAAAGTCCTTCGGAAGAAATGGACGCTTTACCTAACCACGAATCCACAGACAACAGACGATACGGGAGACGCTCGGCGCATTTCTCGTTAAACTTGATTCCGATAAGAGCGCATCCAGAGCTTCCTGAAGGCGATAGTGAATCAGAAGAGAGCACAAAGGGACTGGACTCTAATCGTTTACAACCTGCAAATAATAATGTCACTTAGTCATTTAGTTGCCAAAATGTTTATGATCAAAGTACCACTTGTCTTATAAGGATTCATGAACAGTCACCTATTTGGAAAAAAAAAAACAAACAAACAAACATAAAATCGCTCTCATCAATAAGAATCCTTGGTAGAATATTAGCCATGTTCAGGACTGATAATGAATGACTTGAAACTGAACAGTTTCGTTGATACCGAGTGGTCATACCATACTTTATTTACAGTGAAATGAACAGGAGATCCATACAGTTATTTTTTTGTTTAATCGTTACCATAGAAACTGTCTGTCAAATTTGAAAACAAAGGAGAAGGCAGAGTTGGCGTAGTCTCTAACAGTTTGTTTGTTGTTGTTATTGATGAGAACGATAAGTAAAACGTTCATTCAAAAAGTGGAGGATGTCGGTGAAAGATAAAGGATTCTTTGTATAGAAGCCCATGCCAGCTCTTACTATTATTGCTTTGCCACAAGAGTCTTTTCACCGGCGAGGAAGTTTAAGCCTTGATCGACGCGTGCGAGCGAGAGGTCTGGTAATGATAATTAGTGCCAGACCTCCAACCGGCCCGCTTTGCTAAAGGCCTCGAATTTTCTTGAGAAGGGAAGAGTCTCGCGCCAAAACGTTCGTAATGAAGGGCCTTTACGGAGGCTGTACGTATAGAGACACTGATATAAACTTTCATGCACATTGAAACCCCGATAACTAATCACCGCTGTTCAATTACACAATTTATGGAATACGCCGTACGGGTCGCGGAATAACATGCTCCCGTCGGTTTTTGCGAGCAAAACAATTGCTGGTCTTTGTACTTTGTTACGATGCACAAAATGATGTCATAGCTTATTTTGCATCACTTATGCGCGAACAATTAAAGATGTCGAGGGAACCATGTTGATAAAAGTAAAGAAGGATATATGATATTTTAGGGATTAATGTCAGGATCTTTCCCGCAATTATAGAAGGTTACGCTCGAAAGAAGCAGAAGAAGAAGAAAAAAGAAGCAGTACGTTGAAATTGAACACAATCGGATAACAGCCGATGGAAAGCGGAAATCCGATTTCGTATATCTTTGTATTTCCTATCAACAGAAGTTTAAAACAGAAAATTTGGCAATTGATACCTCGTATTCTGGCCTATTTTACCTAATTTTGTTGACTTTTCTTACTGCAAAGTGAATCCCAAAATTTAAGACCAACTTCAAAGGAGGTACACAGCTTCCCTGTTTCATGGAAAGTAGCCTCAAAGTCTAAATATATCCCACGGAAAGACCAATCAAACGAAATAGGTTCAGAAGTCATGGTTTTGTCATCCGTGGAGACAGTTTTAAGCAAACAATCTTAAAACGTCCGTCGTTTACGAAAGAAACACCTGCAACCGATGCATCTACGCATGCCCGCCAACGGACACTGATATCTTCCTGCGTCAATAAGGCGGTTAATATTTCGTGTTAAAGCTCTTTAGAGTGTCAATAAAGTCACTTGTGAACAGAATAAAAATGCACGGAGAGAAAGCGGCTGATGACAGAAGAGTTTTAGTTTATAAGGTGAGTATGCTTGCAAAATAAATAGTTTTTGCGCACTTCTCAGTATGCAAACTTAATTAGAAGTAGAAGATCTTCATCAGCGTTAGTCTATTGGTTATTTTACCAAAACGATACCATAATCGGAGCATCCTTAAGCTCTTTGAATCCACAACTATAATTTGATTGTAGATTACCAGGTATATAATGAATTTAATCAAGAACTTGCGATAAATGTGTGCCTTTAAATGCAGTGAAGCTCCAAAATACTTTCAATTCTAGAACTTTCTTCCTGTTTAAAACAATGGAAACAATTTAAATGGAAATACGGTTATCTAGTTGCCTGTTGTAAAGTCGCTAACCTGGCGCAGATGGCTTCTGCTATTTAATGTTAAACAAGTGAGTCAGTTTACTGAACCGGGTCCATAACATACGACATGGCGCATAGATGGGCCCTTAACATACCCTCGTCGTTCAGAATTGTCATCTGTAAGGTAATCTTATATCCAGTTTGATGAGCTAATTCTTTGGATTATTTGTTGTCGCTCAGGGATTACAGGGATACATCATCGTCACATGGTTGGACATCAGTTTCTCGTCAGCAGTCTGCAGGTATGTCACAAGGAATACTATTCAGTATTACTTAGTTCTGGACAAGATAAGGAATCAATATCTCAACAAAGTCACAAATCGCTGTCGGTCATTCTTAAACTTTTTCTCCCTCCAAGGGCTACCATGTCGTATCTCTTCAGTGATAACTCAAACTGATGATACGATTTGTAGACCTTTGTAACATTTTGCGGTAAACTGACGTAATCCAGTACAACACCGTGACTGCCTTTTTCAATACTGGTTTGCGATAAGTGAATCTCTGAAAGAGATATACACTGACGTGCTCTCGGACCGGCTTGATTAGCAAGAATTATCTCTCCGCTTAGCATCCACAGTCACTATAAGCATCACGAACAAAAAATAAGCAAATCTGTTTAATCCCGGCCTTATTATCTGAACAGTGACAGAGAGAGCTTTGCTTTGCTAGGAAATAATATGCTTTTAGTATTTAAAAGTTCTACCCCACGTAGGAGAGCCGGTGACACGCTGGGCTCCGCGAGCGGTTATATATTGTGTTCCCGTCCCCACCCAAAAGTGTGGGATCCTTGGGAGTAACAGCGCTGTCTAAGCAATCCATACAAGGAGAGTGGTAACACTCCTAGTTGGTTCATGACACGGCAGCCGGAATACGCTCTGGCGCCTTGACAATCAATTGGCACCAGGAAATATTTCACATTCGACAATTTTTTTTAAATCTTAAACATGCTGCTTCATCATATTTTGGGACCCAAGTCATGATCCTTTGGTTGGTGCGCTTTGATTTATTCCCCGTTTATTTCAGAATTATTTACACAATGCAATCAACTGACCAAACTTGAAAACAATTTGGCGGATGAAAATGTCAACAAGAGTGGTGGAGATCAAAAAGCAAAATGAATTGACTCGTTCAAAGGTGTTCTTCAATTGGTTGCTTTCATATACTGGGATGTCAAAGGCTTTGAAATCAATTTCGAAAATTTTACATCCGGATAGAATTAAAGATAAGTTGACATAAATTCAAAATCTTGTGTAAAATAACATAAATACCACAAAGGTAAACGAATAATCATCGTTATGAAGTGATCTCTTTTTTCCTAAACAAACAATGTGTCGGCTGCTTCATGTTGCCTGTATAACAAAATAATTTTTGAGCTAAATTGGACGTATAGATTCAAAAAAGACAATTTTCCATACACTTTAACCATATGCTAAAAAATAAAATTTGAGGCCTTTGTCTTCTGATTTGTTTGTGAGGGAGCTTCTTCCTTAAATTCAACCAAAAGGCTTATAGAATACTCTGTTGAGGCATGGCAAAAATTAGAATATTTCTGTCTGCGGAAAACCCGTTGGCACATACGATTGAACTTCAAACCACTTGATTTTATAACTCGAAACAGAGCTAATGACTTTAGAAATCAACGACGTTGTAAGCCAGAACTAAGCCCACCCTTATGGTTTTGTTGGATGCATGTTTTGCTTTTGGATTCTTAGAAGCATTATCACCCACTAAGCAAAACTTCCTCTTCTTAAACCAAAACATCATGTAAAAATAATATCCCTTTTGTGACTAATTCAACGTTGTTTCCAACCGTAACTCTTAGCTATACCAAAATTAGCTGAAAACATGGAAGATAGCCTGCAGCGGGTGTCATCCTAAAGTAATTTTCAAGATTTGAACTCCTCTTCGTGACTAGCTCACATTCATAGAACTTTGTTATTATGCAAGTGGACAAAGCCCTCCCATATAATTCGTTATCGTTAGCTCCGAGGGGTGAAGACAGCTTCAACTTGCTAATGAGATTCGTCGACTCACTACAATAAATCGCCCGACTAAAAGAGCTTATGATTCTAAGCAGTAAATAACACAGCTGTCACTGTCGTATATAGGGAAGACAACTTTCAAATCGATTGGATCGCAGCTCAATGCGTCTTTCACCTGGGAATTTCTCGGATAAACGAACAAGGTATTTATTGGCCTCGAAGGAAACGTTTATCATCATATCTACCTTCAAAGATTCCGCGCTATCATTCGGCGTACTGTTTTTTTTTTTTTCATACTCAAGCAAATGTAAGCTGGAACAGACAGGAGATAGTTCAAATTGTTCAAAAACTACTTCAAAACGGAGTCGCTCCGAAATGTTACTCACTCACAGGTAAGATTTGAACAGCATTATTCGATATTTGATGACAGATATGATTCCAGCCGCTTGCAAATTTTGGATTCTAGATTGCTCTGAATTACATTAAGGTTGACAGCCTAATTGTCCCCGTTAATGGCAAACGTCACCAGCATTTTGAAAGAAGCTCGACGCGAATCATTCACTCAACTAAATTTTGCCAAGTTTACTTCTATCGAAGCTGTAATTCTAAGGAAATTATGTGTGTATATAACGTTTATGCTTTATGACTGATTTCCAAATTTGCTAACAAATGTTAATAAATTGCTCTGGTAAATGTTTTCTTAGTAAGGCTGTTTCAAGAGATCGAATGAATTGGTTACAATGCGCACCTAACCTATCAACCCTTTGCTTAAAGTTGGCTAAAATAAAAAAAAAAAAGAAATATAATGATTAGAAAGCAAAATGATAAAACTGAGAAGAAAATTTGAAGGGGAGGGTGTGATTATTAAACCAGCTTGTGCTTATCTGATATCAACTTTACAGGAAGTGTCAGCCAGCACCATAGTAAATAAAGGAAATCATCCTTCGCATTCACTTTTTTCCTTTTTTAATGCAAACTCCACGATCATGTGGTAGAAAAAGAATTGTAAACACCCATTGAATATCACACTTTCGAACGAGTCGACCTGAGCTTATTATCGACTTGTTTTGAAACACACTTTAAGCGCAAGTGATTATTTTTAAAACCCAACTGCAGGGGGAAGGACTTCAAAGTCAGGCATTATTTTGGATGATTTTAGTAAACAACATCCGCGAAGCTATAACCTAACAAAACGAAAGACTGGGAGTTGTGTGATATTTTTTCTACGTGAATAAATAATTACTAGTCACAATATGTTTGCATCTTGTGAGGTCTTTCGTAAATTTGAATGTAAACCGCGACCGACAGGACTAATGTTACCTAATATGGCGTTGATTCTGATGCCTAGCTTAATTGAGTCGATTGTGAAAAATTGTAAATTCGGGTTTAGCCTGAGAGGCAATTTTGAAGATGGATCAAAAGCAGACTAAGACTCTTTCCTCACGATACTGAAATACTTCAAACGAAGGCAGCGAACCGGGCGAGAACTGAAAATTTAGTCTTGTGACGCGGCCTCGCTGATACATCGCGTAGAGTTCACTGTCTTGACTTGATCCTTTATAAATTTTATACAGAGCAAACACAAATTAAGTGATCTGAGAATTTAACATACGGCGCAAATATTTTGTTAATGCACGTAAAAATGACAGTCAATAATTCGTTACGATCAGGTAACTGATTATTTTGTTTGCGAATTTTTCTTCATAATTTATTCAGATTTCAAGGTTTTGTCATCCAAGATTTTAAACATTCACTTCGTGCAGTTAACCCGATGATTAAGCTTTTTGCAAGTTAACATTTTTTTCTATGTATGACTTCTTTTGGATGCTACATTTTGATGTGTATTCTGAACTTTTTAAATATAGAAATTAAGGACACTAGAATTCAGCTGAATTTTTGTAAGTATTAGTTACTTAATTGTGGCTCGAAAAAAAGGTTCAGTCGGAAGATTTCGGATATTTTCGGAGAAGATAGGCGGGGCGGAAAAATTAAATCGGTAGGGACGTCATTTGATCTAAAGCAAGATGTAGGCGTACGATACACGATTAAATTACTTGCATATAGATTCAGATGATTATTAATTGCAGGATAAAAGTTTTTTCTCACGTGACAGTAGGTGTACGTTATTTTCAAATTATGAAATTTGTTAAATATAAAACACATCGCTCACAAATTGTTGTGAGTAGAATTAAAGACAAGTTAAATATTTTGGACCAACAGAACGTGAGAAAAAAAATGCGTTTGACCCGAATTAATGCGCTAGAACTGACAGGTGGATGACAAAAGGTCTTGTCAAAGCAAAAGTTGTTTTCTGTGATATAATTGTGAAATATCGCCGTCATCTTCGAACGTCATAAGGTGGACTTTGATTGGTTAATGATCTAAGTGCACCATTTAATAATTTCTGTGAGGACAGCTTGCAAAGAAATTAACAATGATGCAAACGGCTCAAAGGCCCTGGAAGACTTATAGACAGTGCTCTATATCATTTGATAGCATTAGCATAGGCAGCGAGAATGCTTTTCGGTCAAATACAACTCAACAGAACACTCGACGCAAAAAATATCTGTAACTTACTGAAAAGTGCCAGGTTAGTTACGGAAATCTTATTGGTAATGAGACGGTGTCAATTCTAACAGAGAGAATATAATCATCAAATGTAGAGGTATATGGCAAAAATTCTCTCGTACTAATTACGAGCCACCTTGGTCTTTTTTGTATGATATACCAAGAACTGAATAACCATGCCTTCTAGCAAGACCAAGAAGCGCTCCAATAGAATTGTGATAAATGTTGGTGGAGTACGACATGAAACCTTTCTGAGTACGCTGAAGACCATTCCAGATACACGACTGTCTTATCTTGGAGAACATCACACCACAGTCGCTCGTACACCGGAATATGATACCGTGAAGGAGGAGTACTTCTTCGACAGACACCCTGGGGTTTTCACGCAGATCCTAAACTTTTACCGTACGGGGAAGCTTCACTGCCCTTCAGATGTTTGTGGTCCCCTATTTGAGGAAGAACTCAGCTTCTGGGGTATCGATGAACAGCAGGTAAGCTGCTCTTGTAAACACTGTCTGGTGTAAATTAATGATAAACGGGAAATATTCTAATTCTTGAATGAAAGACCCTTCCCAAAGGTACTAAGTTATCGCTTGTTTAAAATTTAGGTTCGTAGATACAGATGCAGACGGATAGTAATGTAGTAAGTGCTTGTGACTTAATCATTCTTTTTCGGTTCTGTTTTGTAACTTTGAGTTCATAGTTCTATTCAACTGACCGCCTTTTCCTTTTCTTTGAAATTAGAATTATTAGTAAATTGTTTCGTTCACACTAAAATGAACAAAATCGCCCCCAAATATTACTAATTGTTATGAAAACGCCGTAACTTAACGCTTTACCGAGAAATATAGCTTTTAGAATCTTGATGGAAATAGAAACTATTTAGTGAAATAATTCCCGTCGATAATGAGGAAAAATGGCGTCTGTCACCAAGCCACAGCGGTTAGTGGGCATAATGCAAACTCTACTCCAAAGATAAATATTTTGCTATTAGTAAACAAAAATTAAGGACTCAAAATCGATCCGTAAATCGTACAGCATGTAGCTGACGTATTTTCTTATAATACATTAAAAGACAAAAGCTGATGTTTATTTTAATCTGATGTGATGTTCGACTCGTCCATGCATTTAGCTGGGTTTTCCTTAGTCGGTTGAATCTTGCAGTGAAGTGAGTCCTGAAAAATCGAGCCCGGATCGTGATTGTTGTCAATTCACCATCTAACAGCATAAGTACCTAAAGCGGGTGTTACCTTGCTTTTAAAAATATCTTCCTGTGTTTGTGGGGTCTCTATAGATAGCTCCCTCGAAGGTTTTTTAGAAATGTACTCGCTGCCTCATCGTTGTCATTTGAGGACAAATATCAGCAGCCAAAATAAAGGAAAATACCAGTATGCTTTATTTTCATGGCGTCTATTGTACTTAAGGGACAAAACATTTTTGGAATAACACAACAATCATATAGCGTGTTGCGCCCTCCCAAACTCATTAATAAAGCTTCTTTCAAAATCGACTTTAAAAGGAACTACACAAGCCATTGTGTATTACTGTACGCCTTAAAACTCCTGCTATTTATTTTGGTTTCTGTTTACTCTCTCATAAGCTCAAACGCTTTTTCGACACTGTTTTGCACATACCATCTCATGCATTCATTTTACTCGGGTAATAGGCTTTGTATAATACATGCATTTATTCTGCTGCCAACGTAGACATATTCATAACAAGGGATTTAATTTTTTTTGAAGCAGGAGTCAAGGAAACTTTTATTTTCTCACTTTATCGCTATTTTTGCGCGAACTAACAATTCGTCAACTGAACAGTTTAACGCCTAAAACGCATTATTATGTTGAAAAAAAAAGATTAAGAGGTGAAATATATACGCTTTGGAACTTTCATTAGGAATTAAAGGGTCATTTATGTGTAAATTAGCATCAGGCTTGGTATTGCACTTTAGTGAATTTATGTGAAATTCATTAGCAGCAAAGATAAGTTGCAGACGAACGTATTTTCTGTTGTTATTGAAATTGCCAACTGAAGGCACGTTGGAACCAATAATTTTATGTGGACCTGTGCAAAAACTCATTTCGCACTGCAATCAAGCTGTCATAAGTTCAGTTTCGCTTCGGGAAAACTAAACCACAATAAGTACACCTGCTGTAGGGTAAAGAAAACATAATCCTACGGTTTATGGCACAGGCGACAGCTTAATGACAGCAAATTCGAATTCATTTTGAATATTGTAGACCTTGAGCAACAAAACATCCTGGGAATAGGACGCTATCAAAATGAAAATTTAATCACAAGCAATATAAATGGAACCTCCGCTCTGAGTCATGATATCAAGCGCAGCCAGGCAATGAGTATTCTTCTCAATTAGGCAACTAGTTACCATAACGAACATGTTGTGACCATTGAATGTAATTATGCCACATACATAACTTTTCTCAGTTCGTGTTACCGAGAAAAAATGATTCAAATGACTTTCACTTATTGAAGAAAACAAAATCCTTTGAAATAGTTGCGTCATGTACACAACTGCCACGTCCTGCTTACATCTCATCAGGGTATAATGGTTTTTACGTAAGATTAACTTTGTGAGCTACCTTAATCAGCAAGAAGAGCTCTCTTTCACGCACTTAACAGCGGAAAAGATATTGAAACCTTTTGTAGTTTGCAGACAATTAGACAATTATTCCATTGTGACATAGCGTTGTTCTTATCACAAGACATAACGCACAAACTGTCACCGCGCCACATTGGCTATGTAACATCTCACAACAAGAGAAAATAATAGGACAATTATTTTGAGTCAACAAGCACTCGTGAAATTAATTTTTATACATTTCTAAGCCATTGTGGTGACGTAAGACTTACCCGGCGACATCTCTCCCACCCACACATGATCGATAGACAATCATCCATTCCCTTTACGTCATTATTTCTCTAAATCATTTCTAAATCTAATTTCAATTATTTTTTCACGAACACAGGTGGAAACCTGCTGTTGGGAGAATTATAAGCAACACAAAGAAAAGCAAGAAAAATTAAAATATTTCAAGCTTCCAGGTTACGAGGAGGACCCTGAGGAGAGATTTCTGTCCGAGGATTCGGGACTTTTCGAGGACGTTGATGAAGTAAAATCATGGTGGTCTAGGTATCAGCCCAAGATCTGGAAGAGCCTCGAAGAACCTTACACGTCATCCTGGGCAAAGGTAGCAAAGTGGTATTTTAATATACAAGTTTACAGCTGTACCTAAATATCAAAAAAATTATTGTGTCCTCAATAACAAAAATTTTGAATATACGTAACCTATGGCCGTGACAAATATTGACGCAGGGATAAATTGCCAGCTGTATTTGGGTTGCTTTCATGAGCTTTGAGCTGCTTTACTATGAACTTCATCCCTTCAAGTCTGTTGTTTTCTCACTCGGTAAAACACTTGTCGCATGGAGGGAAAGCAACGTTAGCGAACACTTCACTGACGTATGAATGGTGAGGGTTGGGTCGAGACACACCGGCCTTGTTTTGTCGAACTGTCTCATGCAAATCTCTTTTCCTCTAATAAACCCACACTTTTTACCAGTGCGTTTAAGGAGATTGTTAAAATAATATTGCTTCCATCGATAATGTTTCAGATTTTTACCACATCTGATGGAATAAATGACGCTACACTTAGTATTGAACGCATACTAACAGAAATACAAAATTACTCTTCCTTGACAGCTGGTGGGAATTGTCTCGTTTGTGGCATTCACAGCTTACATTATCAAATTCTCGTTATCAACCCTGGAGTATTTCAGCGACAAGACTGCTTCTCAATACATCGCTTTATCAGTGACACACCTCGTATGTATCTCGTGGTTCACTATGGACTTTGCTCTTAGGGTCCTGTTTTCGCCCAATAAGCTCGCTTTTGTCAAAAGTCCCTACACGTGGACAGATTTGATACCTCTGGTGTTGTTATACGTATTCTTTTTCCATCCATCCATGGAGGAGATACCATTTTTAGAGATGCTTGTCATGTTAAAAGCTGCGCGTATTTTCCAGCTGTTTAAACTGTCATACGTTCTCCAAGTGCTTGTTAATACACTGAAGGCCAGTTCCCTCGAGCTGTGTCTCCTGCTGGTCATTACTGGCTTCGTTATGGTTGTGTTTGCAAGTATTGTGTATTATCTGGAAAGATATGACTTTGATAGCGACTTCAGAAGTGTCCCTGAAAGCATGTGGTGGGCTGTCATCACTATGACAACGGTTAGTACATTTCTGACATATTCAAAATAGGTCGAGCCCTTAATGAAACTCTTAATAGAAGAGACGGAGGGTTATTAAAAGAACTGTTCTATATTCAATGCATTTGTTATGGTATGTAACGTAATGTTTCTTTCAATTTCCAGGTCGGCTACGGCGAAGTACATCCTCGCACAGGGACTGGAAAGATCGTTGGTAGCGCATGCGCAATATTCGGGGTGCTGGTCATTGCTTTACCAGTATCAGTGGTTGCAAGTAACTTTTCCCTTTTTTACACATACGCCAAAGCGAGGCTCAACCTACCGCCTAAAAAGAGGCGTATAGCTTTTTCTCATGCTCTTACGTCCATGAGTAACCAGAGATCACAAGAGGGACCTGAAAACAGCACACATGCTAACTTTACATCACTGTGCAGCGAGAGACAAACTGAACGAAGCTTTCCGTCGGAGATTTCAATAAGTTGTTCCGTAACTCCCAGAGGAAGCCTAAAGAAATCCTCTTTTTGGTCGCTACGTTCGATGTCCAAACTACTGAGACCGAAGAGACGATCCAACGTGAGTCGGAGCAAGTCTTTGAATTCTGTTCTTTCAGATTACAAGTCGATGAAGGAAGCACCCGCAGAAGGTATTACGTTAAAATTCGAGCCGCCTTCTAGAGTACCTTCCGTTGCTGATATAGCAAGAGACCAACCAGAAGGTATTTATCGGGATTGCATCTTCTATTTTTTATTGATACCGAGTGTTAAATCTCGTAACCTTCTCTTTTTAATCATGCATTTATCATCAATTTTTACTCAATGCTGGAGCAAATCTTGGCTACTCTTCCACCAAACGAAGTTTATGGAAATGAAGCTGGTTTGATTTGTTGTATGCCTCTTAATGAAGTGATAGATGATATCTTTCAATGAGGGACAAAAATCCCGACAGCCCCCGAAAGGAGTCTATCCTACTGCTAAGCATTGACCGAGTCTCCTGTGGCTAAGCGTTAGGGCATCTAAAGTATTTATTAAAAGGTCGTTGCCTTCTGTTGAGAGCTCTCGAGATTTAGACCGTTACGTAAATGAATCAACACTTACAATGTTCTTAAGGTCCTTTAGACTGATATGGTTTAACTTTTGGACCCATTACAGGAGAGAACACTCTGCTTCATGTGCCAGCGGAGGAAAGAAGAAAACATTCAATGAGAGATTCTTTAAGGGAAATCTCAAGGCCATCCGCACTGATAAACAAATCACTATACCCACTCCACCTTAGACGGGGAGCCGTGTCACCAGCCTCATTCAGTCTAAAGAGTGCGTCCACAGCTTCTAGTTTAAACGCACTTCCAAGAGGTTACAATGAGCTTTACAACGCACTTAGTGGAAAAGGACCTATTATTCTCTTGTCAGATCAAGCCAGCGTGCAAAGCCTTTGCTCGATCCACTCACGAATGACTTGTTCGTGTTCAAGTCTGAGGAGCGCCGGAAGTGATGGTACGATTCCCGATGTGATTGGTGAGAACCGAACGCGCACAGGTAGTGATGGAAATTTTCCGTTAAGTCCCACCGAAAAGGCTGACGGGATACAGGTAACATTAACAGTACCCGTAGAGTCTCGTGGTAAGCGAAGAGATAATACCGAGAGCCGTGACAGCGTCAAGGAGGCCGACTACAATCCCCTCGCACTGAAAGAACACAGCGTCAACGAGGCCGACTACAATCCCCTCGCACTGAAAGAACACAGCGTCAACGAGGCCGACTACAATCCCCTCGCACTGAAAGAACACAGCGTCAACGAGGCCGACTACAATCCCCTCGCACTGAAAGAACACAGCGTCAACGAGGCCGACTACAATCCCCTCGCACTGAAAGAACACAGGAAATGCAGAAAGCACGATCACAAAAACAAAAGCGATGAGGATGAGTTTGTACCAGTTGAATTTATGACGATACCAAATGAAGAGCCGACGAGTTACGATGGAAACCTTGGGATCATTTGTCAGAAAAATACAGTCGAATCACAAAACATGGATCAAATCAATTTAAAATGGCAGCATAATCAGCAGCAAACAAGTCCTGCTAAGCCTATTGTGGAGGAAAGAAGTCGGCCAAACAAGGATAACCTCTCACGAGAAGATGGTCAAGGAGATGATAACATGCCAATCGAGAAAGTTATCCAAGACACTAAATCACCAATTAAACCTGTTCCAGTGATAGGGCGGGCCGTGTCTGCCTTTTCTATCATGGAATACAACATTGGTAAAAACATTCCGTCATGTAACGAAGGAAGCCAACCAGTGGAGGATAACACAACTCGTAACGACATTGAGCGCAAAACTCCTAAGCGACGACACAGTGCCTTCACTCCATGTCATGACAACACCACACCACGTGGGGGACATCTGAGCACAAGTTTTATGAAAAACCACGTGAATGAGCGTGAACCGCTAATTAATGGAAATATTATGCGGGCTTATGATTCTATTAAAGAAAAAGAATTAGGAGACAACGACAACTCGCAAACCATCGACGATAAAGATATTCAAAACCCGAAAAGGATGAGGAAAAGCGGCGTAAGTTCTTGTTACTTTGAAACAAAATCTGAAATTCATAAAAGTATTCCATCATTGGAGGAAAGTTTAAATATGACTAGTAAAAGTTTTGCAGACGAATGTTCGAACCAAGAAAGAACATTTCAGTCTTTGCAACCTTTTTCGTCAGACACGGAATCAACAGACTCGGAGTGTAGACCTCTCCCCATCGCAAATGCCGAACACGAACATGACAAAATCAGGACATCAAGGGTCTAACAAATTTTTTCAGTTTAATTCTGCCTGTATTTTCCCTGTTTGTACACGTAATTTCCAATACAAGTTTTACTGAATGCGATCAAAAATGAAAAATTTTTTTTTTCATGTAAATACCTTTCGTTGGATAACAACAACGCGCCGATTATGGTAATATGTAGCAACCATGATTAAATAAGAAAAAAATATATTCGCGTTGGACCTGGTCATTTTGTAAATTGAGGAAAGAAAGGACATCATTTTCAACAAGCAGCTTTTATACTGTTGTAAGGCTTGGGTTACAATATAATGATAAAAAGAACAGACCAAAAAAAAATCAGAAAAATTAAACGAAGGTCAGTGCTATTTCTCCATATCATATGACCCGTATCATATGACCCGTATCATATGACCCGTATCATATGACCCGTATCATATGACCCGTATCATATGACCCGTATCATATGACCCGTATCATATGACCCGTATCATATGACCSGTATCTTTAGCAAAAATAAAGGAGTGATTAGTTTCATTTACCTGTTTTTTCCTCTAAAGGAACGGTCGAGGTGTGTTTCTAAACGATTTCCTTTCAATTTAAAATTATAACACAGGGCCTCCGCTGATGTCGGGATTAAAAGACTGATAGCGGTCACTGTCTCTAACCATGTGCCAGTATCGATAATTTATTGCAATACATTATCAAAGGGGAGCCCTTAAACATTACCAAGATAATATTAGGTTTATCTCGGTCGTCATTTTGAATATATTAAAAACGAAATAAAAAACATGTGAACAGAAATTGTCCAAGAAAATGATCAGATTCTTGTAAAAAATTCTAGTAATTGACTCTTATCTTTGCCAACATCTTTAAGGGTTTCCATCAAAATAGCCCACGGTAAGGAAACTACCGCAAACTGGATTAAAGTTACTGCACACCATCTTCCTTCATTTTGAGTTCGGCCCCAGGCCCAATCCAACTGTACACTACTACTCATTTTGAAAAAGGTATGCCCGCCAGAGCTACCTGCAATATGCGATGTAACTTGACATTCACCTTTGGCGGAGCATGGCAATCCAGGATTTCTATTCTCTCGTCTAATCGGCTGTTTATTCCTTTCAGTTCCTTCCTGATATCCTCCATTTCACGATTAAAAATTTCCGACCGCAGAGCACGTTTTTCCTGGTCGCGCTTTAGTTGCTGATAAAACGTGTCTTTTTTTCTTTGCTTTAGCAGCTTGTTCTTTGCCAGTTTCTTGTGATCTTTTTTCAACTCTTTGATCGCTTCCTCTCGACTGTTTGCAGAGACTCTCCTTCTTCTGCCCTGACTTGTTTGTGAAATCCTGGGCAATGTATCCGAGGAAAGTTTCTCCTTCGTTGCTTTTGAAGAAGTATCGGTTCCACTTCGATGAAACGAAAGCTCTTCAGAAAACATTCCAGCGAATGAATTTCTACGTAAAGTTGCTGAACCGTTTAAGAACGTTTTCTCATTTTCATCAGCTGGACTTGGCGGAACTGTATAGGACGATCCCTGAGGAATAGCTAAATAACTGACCAAAGACGACACTACTGGGCTTTCGTCTCTATCCACAAGTTTGACATCTGTAAGCGCTGAGCTTTCCTCCTCAGTAATTGCCACTATGCTGGGCTTTTCACTTGTTTGCTCTCGCTCGGTACCAGCGCCTTCGTTCTCGATGTTAATCCTCGGAGTTCGTCCCTGAGGCTTCTGATCTACGTCAGGCGTTCTTATGTACTTGCTGTAGTTTTTTATGACATTTTCTGCCAGCGAGAGCCTCCGGTTTAATATTTGGGAATGAGCGTCTGTGGAACCGATGGTGTATTTCTTTTCAGTCTCCATTCCAGTGAACGGTGTCTGAGGCGCTGACATACGCCGCGTGGATGGAGACGGGACGTAGCGAGAACTTGGTGGCGACGTCTCTGGGACTTTATTATTTTTGTTATCGACTGACTTTGAAAATCTTTGTTCAGGGCTCGCCGTTTTCAAATAAACATACGTTTCTTCCTCTTCTTCTTCGTCTTCATCTCCGCTGAGTCCGTCGCTATCACGCCAAGCAGTTTTCTCACTCTGCTTTTCCTTTATAAAGCTCTTGAAGCCTTCTTCGGAATCGATAGATTCGAAAGATTCCTGTCCAGTCTTTGCCAACCTCTCACGGAGTCTTGCCCAAGCAGCAGCTGGCTGATCCGACTGCTGATGAAATTGCTGGCGCACCAAACTGCGTACATAGTTACTGCTTCTTGACAAATTCCCTAAATGAGTTATTGATATTCTCTCAGAAGCCCAGTCGCCCTTGGTTTCGCTCATTCTTCTAAGAACTGATCACACCAACGGTGAAAGCTAAAGCGATGTTTGGTTACTAAGGCAGGCAGGCAGGCAATCAAGGTAATGATCATCGAGGCAGCAATCAATAACACTGCCACAGAGAACTTCCCTCAAACAAAAAATTTGATTAACACGCTGTGCAATTGCGGTAATTTCTCTAAAGCACTCATCCAATTAACTATACCCGTGCTTGTTATATCTACACTGTCCATATAAAGTTATCCACTATTTGCCCGAAAGTATAAACAATTTGGGCAATTAAAATATGACACAAATGTATCTTCGTTGACAACACTAATTTCCTCCGAACTCATATTTTGCGGTTTTCGAAGAGATAAAGATATAATTGCATTGTTTATGGTAACGATTTTTTTTATAGTTGTTTATAAAGCTGCTTTTATAAAACTAAAAAAATTTCATTTAACTCCAAAACAACGCGCTTTGAGAAACATCGATTTTGAGGTAAATACAAAAGTGTGTTAAGTTTGTAAGGACTAATGTGAGCTTGAAGAACGTTCTTTATTTTGGTGAATAAAGTTGAAACCATGGCACCTCAAGATTTCATGTACTAATATCAAACTTTCTCATCTCTCAGTGGAAAGTTGACCTATAAATATGAGACACCTAGAGACAAACAACATTACATTGTTTCAAACGATGCAGTAACTACGTATGATGCACGATCCTCGCAGTAGATAGCGCTATTTATGCAATAGCGAAAATCAGACCTGAAAAAAATCAGGCCTGTACGGGATTCGAACCACTGACCTCTGCGATACTAGTGCAGCGCTCTACCAATAAATAGCGCTCTCTTCTGCGAGGATAGTGCATCATACGTATTATCTCATTGTCAATCAAATTAGTTTTACGTATTTCCGCTATTACATCATACAGCTATCTAATTCCCANTTCATTGTATCTGATTTATCACTTTCACGGGTTTATTACGAATCAACTTAACGGCCTGCTCCCAGTTGGCTTGTTAGCTCAATTGGTAGAGCGCTGCACTAGTATCGCAGAGGTCAGTGGTTCGAATCCCGTACAGGCCTGATTTTTTTCAGGTCTGATTTTCGCTATTGCATGAATAGCGCTATCTACTCCGAGGATCGTGCATCATACGTATCTAATACCGCAGTTCAAAATATATGAACTTCATATATTCATTGTATCTGATGCAGTAACTCTTGGTCTTGCTGTGACTTCAGCTACAAGCCGCCACAGGCGTCTACAATGCAGTACTTCGAACAAATGAGCGAAATAAATAGAAGAACAATAATTCTCCCATCGTCTTGTCCATGTAAAAAATAACAATATCAAAGCGGGTGGATCCGATACGAATACGTAAGAAACTTCCGACAAAGCTAAATGTTTTATTTCTTCTTTTACTTCACAATTGTTAGAATTACTGATAAAATCGAAGGTGAAATAAGATTTAAATATGTTCTGACATATTAGGACAAATGATTTGTGCGTGCCAAAAAACTGCACTGAATTCTTGTGTAATTCACCTCTACATCATTTCTGAAACAAAACGAAAAAAACTTCCTCAAACATATACAAGTGGCAGAGAAAATTACACAGAAAGTCTACCAGCTTCTACGGTTCTATCACTGAAAAGGTTAGTCACTCGAATCGTGTATATAATCGACCCACGTGCGAATGTGTTCAGCATTCACAATGCCATAAAGGAAATTAAGAATTCTCTGCAAACCATTGCGAAACAATTAATGTAAACAAGTGTGTGTATGAATGCGGCTACAATTAACTTCAGAAGACTTTTATGGAGCAGTTTATGACTAGCGGACACCAAGATTCCATTAGACATTCTACTAGATAAATAACAATAGCCATTAACGGAAAGTACGATGAAACTTTAAATACAGTACAAAGCTATAAACATAGAAGAATATACAGAATATGGCATCGTTACAATAAATGCAATCGTTTAAAAATGATTCAAAAGTTTCTAATCGAGTTATATGAATAATTGCGTCAGAATTTGCTCGTTCAAAATCGATTCAAAAAGTGAAAGTTTTAGCACTACAACTCCGTTTGAGATGCACATTTAGCATAGTCCTTTCTTTCATTGCTCTTACGGAAAACGCCCGACCAGCTTGATTCTTCCTTTATATCCTCGGGAAAATTAAATTCAGGTTTCTACAACTAGTAGATCTGTTTCTGTTGAGTAAGTCATCTCAAATGTATATTTCAGGGTATTTCCACTCTGCCTTTTAAAAAGCAAGGTGCACTCATTTATAAGTGATTGTGAAAAAAAGGAACTCACTTTAAAATGCTAACCAAACTAACTAAAGATACTGTTCTTTCGGCAAGATTGTCTGTCAGTTAAACATAAATAGAGAAAAAACTTACCGTTTTGATCACGGAATCTATATTTCCTTGATACAAGGCTTATCGTATGATTTTCTCGTATACGTCTTTTGCTTGTATTTTCTGTAAGGTCTGTTGAAGAAAAAGATTGAGGATAAGATTTTCAGAGATAATTCCTGGCCCCCTTTCACTATAAAAATTAAATTTGGCTGGTAATGGAAGTAAGCAGTCACACAATAACTGAGTTCAGAAGAACAACTTTTTCCTACTCAAACCCCTAATGAGCTACTCAATCAAGTCCTTGATTTAAAACTCGATAAACTCCGAAGTAAAACAGTGGAGAAAGTTGCCAACTTACTTGACAGGGAGTCTTGTTTCAATGATGTTTCTTCGCTGAAGACTCTTAAATCTGTCTTCAAATAAGTTTCCTTCTTGCTGTGAAAAGAGCGACATAACAGCTTGAATGAAAAAATTTTCGTAAGTGTTGGACTTAAGTAATAATTGAGTTTCAGAGTTAATGTTCCACCTATCACTCGCTCACTAACTGATTCAAGTAGGTTCTTTTCGAAGATATCAATCCAAAAAAGAAAAGAAAAAATAACTGGGTATTTTAATCACACTTAATGACCACAGTTGTAGGCGATCCAACCTTTAATGTGCGGAGACTTCCGGACAGCTCTGCACTTAGTTGAATCTCACAATCTGGTGATTCATATCTGAAGTTGCAGTTAAGTAATCAAATAAGACTTCTTTGTTTACTGATTAAAATGTACTCCACTGCATCAAACATTAGCATTTATCTGAGTCTTTTGTTGCAGTGGCAATCACTTGCTCTGAAGGCAGGGAACACAACCTCATTGCTAGCCACAGACAGTGAAGCTGGGTGGTATTCAGTACAAGTAATATTATTTAATACAATTATAATATTATTGCTAAAGGCTATTCCATTCAATAGAGGTACATGTAGGATACTTGTGTCTGCTGAGTCTTTTTGGTTTAATCAAAGAACTTGTCTCTATTTCTTTCTTCTCCCTCCTTTTTTCAGCTTCCTCGTCAGCTATCTTCATTTCTTTCTTCAGAGCTTTTAATCTATTATAACAAATGTATCAAGGGTCCAGCAATCAGAATTGAAAAGCATTCTAAGATTTACGTAATTTGTGTGATTGTCAAGCTATAAGTAAAGTCTGTTTACGAGCCTAGTGGCCCATTAGGCCGGTGCTTAACTCCGGTTTTTGTAGCATGAAGCGACCAAGAGTATTTCTACTCCTCCCTGGATGGGATGCCAGTCCATCGCAGGGTTACCCCCAGCATGAAATTTGCCGGTACCCATTTAAACACCAGGGTGAAGAGAGGCACTGTGAGAGTAAAGTGTCTTGCCTAAGAACACAACTTAATTTCCCCGGCTGGGGCTCGAACCTGGATCACTCGATCCGAAGGCGAGCGCACCAACCATGAGGCCACCGCGCCTCCACAATGTGCATTGTATACAGGAGATTAACTAGGTGAGCTCTATTGTAATTGCACATAATTTGTGTATAAATTGAGTGCAATAATACATGCATAATACTGTAGTCTTCATAGAACAATTCAAAGAATGTCTGTCACAGTAGTTTAAAATCTAGTGCAGAAATTATCACCAAAAGGGTTCATTCTGGGTAGCCATGTTTTTTATAGGTACAGTGTATGACAATTGATCAAGCCTTTAGTTTGTACTTTTTTTCTATTTAGACCCTGAACAAACACTGAAGCTGGTTCTTGGGAATACATCATTAGGTAAGAGAAAATCAATAATGTGATTATCTATTAATGATATGCATGAAAAAATTCGAGGTAGCT